CAAACAGACGGGTTACGGCACATGGCGTTTGTATATGTGCATTGGGTTTGAAGGGCAGCTGACGAGGCGATGATGCGTCAGGTGAGCCTCTGCTGACAGGCCGCTAATGCAGCGTGACACCGTGCAGAATGGGCAGCGGGGGCACGCAGCGGAGGAGGGAGAGTAAACCGTCAACCAACACTTAGGCTGAATGGAGTTGTTTGTCTTGGTGGGTAGCAATTACATGGACTGGCCTGGCTTTAAGTAAACTCCCTGATCAGAAGGGTGCCCCTCTGCCAGGCTGAGAGAGAAAGAGGGACGGAGGCCGTGTTGATACATTCTGCGGCCTGGTGCTCGTGTTTGAACACACTCAGGCTGAGCTCCCACCTGTTGACTCTTCCCCGTGTCTGTGTTTGTGCAGGCAGCACTGAAAGCACCAGCAGCTCAAACCGAACAGCCCAAATGAACATAGTCACAGGTTCCTGAGATGTGTGTAGATAAGGCATGGCGCCAGGTCATGCACAGTGCTACAGCAGTGTGTGTTGTACCTGCTTGCAGCTTCACACAGGATGCAGTGCAGCAGCTGCAGAAAGAGGAAGTGGCACAGGCTTTCCCATCACTGGGGATGAATCCACACGGGTGACTTCATAGAAAAATAGATCACTTCAGTGGAAACAAAAATAACTGCACTGAAATGACAGCTGTTGTAAAGTGAGAAATGTCTGCACCAGTGTACAGACGGTTTTCCTTTAACAGCATATAAAGGGAGATTCAGAAAAATACAGATGATACCACGTTTTTATTGTTGGATAATAGCAAAACATTTTAAACTTAACCTACCGAAAAAGACTGAGGACGAATATACTGTATATATATTTGACCGCTCTCCAATCACATTAACTGAAGACGTTCATCTCATCACAACCTCAACCACATTCTTTTCTGCTGCACCACGACTTGAGAGAGCCGATGAAGCAGTCGACTGTGAACGACGGGTACAATAAGCTGTGTGGGAGAATTTGCACTGTGGTCTCGACATCCACGCACCACTGAAACTTGTGGGCGCAGGGAGGACAGCTTTTGAAAATGTCAGTTCCTCTTTCTATATTTAACCACTCCTGCTAAACCGCCCCTCCCCTTTTGCTTTGTCACTCTTTTATTTCTTTTGCACACCACTCATGCTGCATTTTGAGTTTGGTGTTGAGCTGTCAAAAGGCAGATGAGCTTTCTTAGACAGACACTCTGTACACTGCTGCTGTCCCTAATGTATTGGTTTCATGTCAGAAGACTACTTTAGATTTGAGGCAGTGAATCAAAACTAATGCTTAAGACTTAGAAAAACACCAATACTGTATAAACCATAACTGCTGGGTATACACTACCATTGCAAATTGCTAATGATATATCCGCTCTATATATGATATCGCTTACCAATCAGGGACTATACTCAGGGCCGGGCTACTTTTAATAATCACTACCCACAGCAACCCTGGAGACGGGGTTTCCTGGTAGGCTTCCTCATAATATACATGAAGTTTACTTAGCAGCATAGAAAGACAGTAGGGGGCTTATTAATGCTCCAGCACCACGGAACAGGAAAACACAATGAGAGTGCGTTGCAAGGCTGAAATTGAGAACTAAATGGGGGGAGAGTTGCTTCAAAGAAGGAACTGTGCATTTCTGTGTCTCAGACAAATGGAGATAAACGGAGAAAAGAGAGGCAGTGAAACCCCTCAAGATAAAAAAAAAAAAAAAAAAAGAGCGATGCTGAGTTAAACAGAGGGTGGCCAGTCTTTCAGTGTTTTACAGGATCAGATATCACATCTGCTGAGGACACATCGATTGGCTTCAACAAAAGACTAGCATGCTCGACTCCATTAGCAGGCCGGTTGGTTGCATGTCTAAGACCACTCTCCACTCGCTGTATTATGTCTGTCTGTGTGTTTGTTTGTGTTTACCATGTTCAACATCGTAGTCTCGTGTGTTAGCATGCTAACATTTTCTTAATTAGCACTAACAACAAAGTACAGCTGAGGCTGATGGGAATGTGATTGTTGCATAATTTTGCAAGTGTTTGGTCATCAACCAAAGTGTTGGACGAATTGAAATGATTGATCTGATGATGGTGCTTAGAGAAAATTCAGGGGATCAACAAAGTCGGTAGGATTCATCTCGTGGGAAACATACATTTCATCCAATAGTTGTTGAGATATTTCAGTCGGGACCAAAGTGCTGGAGAGTCTGTTAGTATGGCTAAAAACATTCCTCCAGCTCGATGTATGACACCAGTTGCTCAATGCTAACTTGTCTGCTCAATAACACACACATCCATTAGTGTCTTAACACTATTTTTTGGCTGGTGCCATCCAGTCAAACTGAAAGCTGTTCCGAGGCTTATGTCAAGCTTTGGGAACTCTGTGTAAAATCAGATGTAGTCTATCTAAGTTTTACGTGTCACATTTTCAAGTGGAAGGTGAGAATCAAGTGGTGAATAAATGTAGCTGTATACATTTACCCGAGTAATGACTTGGATTTAGTGTTGTTGACATGTTGTTCCCAGAAGACTCAGCCCACCAGTTTAAATGGACGTCTTCTTTGACCCCAGTTTATTTTTTACCAAATCGATGCAAACAGGTAGAGCAACACTTAGGTACAGTGGCTTTTATACACCATATGGACTCCCTCTTTAAATGGGTTTTGTTTCTATCATAATACCACAGTCTTATGGACAGACAGTCATAAGGTCAGTTTACTGGAAGACCACAGGTCTGAAATAATCTGCCTTTGGAACAGAGAGAACCCTCTCTCAATACTCCCATATTTGCCCCTTTTACTGCCTGTGTCTGCAGTTTATAGGGTGAAAGTCCAAAAATATGTCATCTGTATGGTTGTCTGTAAATGCGCAAACCACTCATTTGGTCTAAATTATAGTCTGTGGCTGCTCCAAAACAACATGAAGTTTCTTATATAAAGCATGATGTGTGCAGTTTAGGTGTTGCTTGCCTCTGCATTATACGAGGTAGGTTGGTGTGTGTCATGTATGTGAAATTGTCTCATGTGACCACACCACAGGGGAGCCCTTGTTTCAATGTACTGTAAATGAGAACAGTTTTGCATAATGTGAGCCTGACATGCTTTGGGCCATTGGGTAGCATATGGTTACCATTTATTATAGCATCACGAAAGCACACCTTTATGATCGTTGCACTTCCCACTTTTGATCCCTGTCTTCAAGATTGTCATCTTCTGTGTTGTCGCTTGCAGGACTGTTCAACTTAATAGCTCCCAGCTCTCTCTAGTTCCTAACCAGTCTGTGTGTCCCGGTCCCCGGCCTCGCTAATCGTTACGTCTGTGTAGAGCAACTTTCCTGTCAATCATTGCCACAGTGGCAGTTTTGTTCCCGGGCCTCTGCCCCCCCTCCCAACCTTCCCGTCAGAACCCCTCAGTCTGAGGAACAGAGGACAAAGGGATGACGGATGGGAGAAGGTCCCGCGCAGGGAAGTACAGTATAGAAGGTGTGTGCTGTAAAGGGTGACAATGAGCACATTCAGGGCAGACACAATACAGTGCCTCGGCCCGCAAAGCCAGCAGCCTGTGAGAGTAGTCCAGCATCAGGCCAGCACAGTCCCCTACAGCAGTCAGCCAGCAGCCGCGCGGAGCCAGGGGTAATCACCAAGTCCTGAACAACACTCCTATTGACTGGGACCAAATAAAATAAGAGATGAAACACAGAGCAGAGGAGAAAGAATAGGAAGACATGTGAACAACCACGGAACAGCACAGGAGAAGAGGACGAAAACAGAGCCAATGAGTAGGTGTATTGTTGTTAGATGAGGTTGAAAAGACAAACAAAAAAACACATATAATCGATCAATTAGGAGAAGGAGAGAAACGTCTTTTCCTTTTTGACACATCCCGTCATCTGGCCGTGAGTCCCACCAGGCCACCACGTGTTGCTGGGCTGTGAGGATCCATGTTCCCTCTGCCTGCCTTCTGATCAGCAGCCCAGCCATCCGCTCGTTCTGTACGCCGGCTCGTTGCTGTGTGAGTGTGTTTATTTTAGAGCGTGTGACTCACACTTCCTGTGCTCTGCCAGTGAGGCAAAGCTCTAAGGAACAGCAGGACCTCCGTTCATTCTCAATTCTCTCTCTCTCTCTCTCTCTCTCTCTCTCTCTCTCTCTCTCTCTCTAGTGTTGCACCGCTGATAGGCCCAGCCCGAGTTCTGCATAATGCGGGGGCTTGCTTGAATGGATGCTACTCTGGAATTCATTTGCAGATGCAGCATGATGGCAGGGACTGGAAGGTTTACGTAAATGAGACTTGTATATGTGGGCAGAGGGTTTGTCACTGAGGAAGAAGGCTGCCGTTGTTTTGTCTTCACCCACCACTACAATACAATAACTTTGCTGATAAGGAGGTGATAATTGCAAGGAATCTCCCTCGGGGTTCTGTGTGACATGGGAAAACCCAATGCAAGACCTGTTTGTAATCCTATCTATTGGCAGTGCCACCAGCCGCAGAACGAGTTTGACCTCAAGAACCTGAATCTGTAGGTGCATGTTTTTGTTTTCCCGATTTGCTGTGCACTTTGGTTGCAATGAGAAACGTCACAGTTGATGCAATGACTGTGGTTTCAGGGAGGATGGTGTGACTTGTTGGAGGTGTTACTCATGTTATGGGAATATGAGTCGCTTTTAGCTTATTTTTGCTACCGCATCTTTCTCCTCCTCCCCTTGCATTTGTACAGTGGAAACTGTTCATTTACTGTCTTCCCTGCTCCCTCTCGCTCCCTCTCTCTCCATCACTCTTTTTTTGCCTCACCCCCAGTCTCTCTCTCTCTCGCTCTCTCTCTCTCTCTCTCTCTCTCTCTCTCTCTCTCTCTCTCAGCAACACACCCACTCAAACAGTCATATCCGCTCTCACTCTCTGGCTCTCCCTGCTTGTCTCACAGTGCCTGTGAAGCGTCTCTGAAGGGGAAGACCAGACTGCTCTGTCAGGTAATCTAAACTCCGTCTTTTTCTTTCTCCCTCTCTCTCCCTCTCTCTCTGCTCGCCCCTCCCCTCACACTCTGTCTTTCGCTCTCTGTCTTCCTCACTTATTTAAATCCATCTCGGTCTTCCTCTCTCCCTTCAGCCTCCCCCCTGTCTTTCCCTCCCTATCATTACTTTTCTTGTCAGCTATGGTAAATTAGTTACTTAGTTATTGCAGCTGTTCCAAGTGAGTTTACATTTGATCGTTTGTTATTTCAAAAAATATAAGTTTGTTAATGTCAAAAACTCTGTTTAAGGATTAAATAACTGAGTTAATTTAGCACGTCAAAGGCTACTGATACGTTATGATGAAAGGATTTAAATTCACGGATTTATTTTTCGTCAGAAAGAGTCTTCAAGGTTTCTATTGAATGTCCGTTCTGGAAGAGGGATCCCTCCTCTGTCGATCTTGCCTGAGGTTACTCCCTTTTTTCTGGAAATCTTGTGGAATTGTTTCACAATTCAAATCGAGGGTCTAAGGATAGAGCTCCTCTCCAGTCAGAGGCAAAGCCCTCTGAGACAAATGTTGGACCGTATAATTTAAATTGACAAACTAAGTGACTACGAAAGGATGATTTCCATCCGTGAAGGTCCTGGCCGCAAATAAAGTTATGGAAATTCGAGCAACCATCAATTTAGTCAAAGTTGTGGTCACTTTGTTTTTACGGTTGATTATGTCACCCAAAGTACCAGGTTTTCCGCTGCCAGGGGTATTATTAAAACTCTCAATGCAATCTTCTCCTGCCGTCGAGGTGTGCATTACCCGGCGCTGCCATGCCACTCGTGTTTGATTTAATGGCCGGTATTCACCTGCAGTTCACTGGCTTGTGTTTAATCAAAGTGAACACTGCAACGGTTGTGAACTGCCAGTCTCATCAAAGCCCTGTGAAATCCTTCTCTACACCCGCAGAGGTGCACAGAGCTGAGAGAGAGTGAGTGAGAGCTCTGGTATGTGGTGTTTTTTCAGACGGCGTCCTCCTTAGCGAGCGGCTTCTCCTGACAGCAGTGATATCCCTGGGTGAGTGTGAGTGTTGGCCTCTGAGGTTTTATGCTGTACCAGGCGTCTGGTTCTTTCTTCTTGGTTTCTTCTCCAGTCATCTAATATCAAACCAAACTGTTTCTTCCTGTGGCTCTTTTGATTGGTTAGTGCTAGACTGTATAGTATTTGTGGTTTGATTGGCAGCTCTGTTTTTGGAGGTGGTGGCAGGGGAAAGACTGTGTACTTAAGGAATGCTGCAGAGCCTCCTGTACAGTTTCACATGTTGTATTGCTGCATTGAGATTATGACCCTTGTGGTTCAAGCTGTTGCAGGCATGACTGCTGTGGTGTCAACCCGTCGTCACTCAGAGGGCATAAGATGTCAAGGGTCATGCCAGCTTGTCAATGCACGGCGAGGCCAAGCATTTCCCCTCCTCACTTCCTGCTGCCAGTGTGCGTCTGTAGTCAGAAAGGATGCTGGGAGATAAATTTAGACCTCCAGCTCCCTCTCCATCTGCCGTTGCTCAGAGTAGGCTGGTTTCCATGGGAACCGAGAGAGAGAGAGAGAGAGAGAGAGAGAGAGAGAGAGAGAGAGAGAGAG